GAGAGAGAGAGAGAGAGAGAGAGAGATGCGTGAATGGATAGGGAAAATAAGAAGTTGGGAGCGGTCGGTCACGATTCCCATATAAGGTAATCTAGAAGAGTCGACGCTCTCTTTTACAAAACTTACTGTAAGACCTCGATTAAAACAAAGTTAAGTTTTGGATTTTGAGCCTATAACTGTTTCACATAGTAAACCAACTTTTCACAGAGGAAAATCGTACACGAAATATTCAAGATCTTGAGATTTTAGAATCAGTAACAAACCCGAAAACAATGAAGGGACGGTTCATCACTTACGTGACGTAACTATGCTGAGAAAGTGTGCGTCGTCTTTCTAAGTAGCTCACTTTGCACCATTAAATACTGGCCCCAACTACTTGCTGCGGATCTTATTATTTTGTTTTAGATGGAATAAAACAACCATAGCAAGGCACACAGATTCCTCACTTTCATATGGTATTTTCTCATTTCCCCCTGTAAATTTAATCAGAATTTTCACAAAGTTTTTTCTTAATACAACTGGGCACAACTCTAAAGCTAGTAGGAAGTGCAACTACTTTTTTTTAAAAAACAAATAAAGAAAAAACACACTCACAAAAACCCAAAGAAGTTCCGTTGAAGAGAATTCAAATTGAGAAAAAAGCTTCAATTATTTTCTACTGACTACGTTTAATGTTTCCTGTTACAAGAGGCGAGAGACAAGGATGCATACTATTATCCCATGTCTTCATCATATGCACAGAAAAAGGAATAATGCAGGAAGTAAAACAGGACTTATGAAGGACGGGTATGACGGACCAGTAATACAAAGAATACACTTTAAGAGATTTAAGATATTCAGATGGTACTGCACTTCTAGCCACAACACCAAAAGGACTAGAAAATTTATTAAAATCTAAAAAAGAACAGAATGATCAAAATGTAGTACATCTAAATGAAGAGACGACCATTATCGTGGACATTGACAAATACAAAGAAGAGGTTGTAATGAGAATGGATGGGGAAGAAATAGAAAGAGTTAGTATTTGGAATATCTCGGAGCTAGGATTGAGCAAAAGGAGGAAACAACCCCAGAGATTAAACGCTAAATTGCTTTTGCAACGTCAAATCTGAAAAAAGATGACATATATCTGGAAAGGACAATGTAAAGATAAAGAATTAAGAATTCCAAGAAATACCGTATTTCACTTCGCAGTTAATGAATGTGAAGCATGGACCATCAATGAGTTAGATAAAAGAAAGGATTACAGCTATCGAAATTGAATTTTATAGAAGAACTCTAAAAATATCATGGACACAGAAAATAAAGTACGAAGAATTATTAATAAGAATAGGTATGAGAAACGCCCACACTCCGCCTGAATGAACTTGTCTGGGCATATCAAACGCCATGATTCACCCGAGAAACATATTCTGGAAGCAAAGTTAGAAGGGAAGAGAGGAAGGGGAATACCTAACAGAGAGTGCAAACTCAAAACAACCCAGGCAAGCAGAATGGCAAGAGACATGGTTAGGGGGGGGGGTCAGAAAGGTCCAAAAAGCATTGTCCAACTACATGTACTGGAAAAGCTCAGAAGTAGGGAAAAAATTGTCACTTTTATTTCCAAAAATCTTGTTCTTCTTCTTCTTCTACTTTCTATGTGGATAGTTTTCTAATCTCCTTTGTCGTTGTTGATCTTTATTTTATTGTCACTGTTATTTCTGCTTCTGGTGGTGGTGATGCTGCTGCTGTGTCCCAAGGAACTATTATCTCCTAACAAGGAATCACTGTCCTCACCACCGATGGTTATTAACAACCTGGTGGCTTCTACCAATAACACTTTGGTAATAGTCCGCTTGAAAACTATATGTTGAACAAAAGTATATATTATGCATGATTGCTAAAAGATAATTTTTCCATACTCACAATAAACAGTCAAAATCACAAAGAAGATGTGATATCCTCTCAAAATAGAAGTCAAGTGTGCTGAAACTGCCATTTTTCAACAAAATGAAGGGAAAATTTTGACGTTTATGTGCACTTCACTGCTTCACTTCAGCCTAGTTTAATATTCAGATGGAACAATGTTCTAAAGAATTCTGCCCGCTCTTTCTATCACGACTGCATCGCGTTTTGTAGTCTAAGGACTTCTGACGTCACCATTTCCTTGCGCCTATCATTTTTATAGGAGCTTTACTCGGTGCTTAGCAGAAGTTTCAAATGAACCGGCCACGCAGTCTATGAAGTAAGGTGTGCTGATAACCACATTAATAAAAACGCCCCGATCGCAGTCTGTCGACTACATCATCCCTTAATCTAGCTTCCAAGACCGTTAGTTCAGCGCCCC